AGCGGTTGCCCGCATAAAATTATATTTAACCGACTCACCCCGTGTATTAAGATATTTCACCCGACGCGTGATGCGAATATAAGGAATTCCTACTGTTACGTGTTTAATGCGGTGAATATCCTGCACGTTACGCGTTCGGCACGTTGGACATCGTCGATATAGCCCTGGATCGCATGATCGATATACTGGACATCCTTCGCTTTCCGTTTAATATGCTTGATATTTTTGCACTCGGCAATTTACATATCGGATAATTCCCATATCGCGAGTCGTGTCCAGGGTTTCGCAGGTAGGCTCACAGTGGGATCCGTTATGTCGAAACGTAATCAAGATAAACATTAAAGTCGCGCAAACGTACCATTATGCGAGAATTTCGTATTAAACGCTACAAATCAAGTTCTTGTAACATTGACTCTTGCTTTTCCCTTTTCACCCTCCGATAATTATGCTTCTATTAGAGGTACACGCGAATTTTTCCACGAGAGGAGATCGTGGCTGGCAGTGGTCAATTTCATGAGTTTACACGTTCGTTAAACTCGTGTATTTAATACGTACATGCTTTTCTGATCGAGAGTAATTAAATTGCAATTGCAAGAAGTAATTGATAGGGTAGAACAGAATATGGAGCATCATCCTTATTCCGTCGAAAAGTACAAGTAAAGTTTGAAATGCATGATCGTATCATAGATATCCCTAGAATATCACTGAAACTATTTTCCCCTAGACTGTCACGCCATCGACAAGAAATTTTAGATCTAACATTTCATATAGCTAACGCAGATTGTATAAAAAGAAATTATACCTGTAAAATTGCTCTAATTTTTGCAAACTGAACGTATCCATGTTATTCAGGTATTACTAGGGTAGATGTGGCCATTTTCTTCTCACAGTCGAGCGGATTTCCTCGTGCTACCTTTCTCTTTTTATATTTCCTGCACTGTAACCACGTGTTCACTTCTCCAATTATATTTTCATTATACGTATCGCCATGTATTATATTATACCCTATATCATACTTGCTTTAATTCCTATCTCCACATCAAACACTGTACATAATAAGATATTTAATTTCTCATTTCCATCGCGGACCTTTATATCGAAAAACAATAAAATATAGGTTATGGCTTCCACGAATCTATACGTATAATTTGTATCTCGATAGGACAAAGAATCGCGTATGAATATGATCTACGATGTTCTAAGAACGTCTACGTTAACCTAACCTAAAACACGAGGCACAGGACACGTGTACCGCGACGAAGAATGCGTCGGGCAGAAGGCCCGAATTAAATATTCCGCGTTACCCGCGTAGGGTCCATTTAAGTTCGCACGCACGAGGGGTACGCGGCGTTCCCGCTCGCCGCGCTAGTATCGCCGTCCCGATCGTAGTAACCGTGTAACACGTACGCTCTCCGTTTCCTTTCCGTCTCGCGGATGCGCTGCTCGCTCGAGTACGTCGTAGTACCCTCGTTTTCTCTCGACCGTGAAATTACACGGCGGCTATACTACGTGGAGTACTACGCGTCCTTCGGCTTGATTAAAAGTCCATTGAATTCGGTTGGGTATACACGCTGCTACTCAAGGCTCTGAAAGTCTCTTACGAAACGCCGTGGCGGTGACGTGGCGCTGGCTTTCGTCCGTTCGCCAAATAAAGCGCGATGGCCTCGCGGTCCTCGCTTCTTAATGAACCGTTGTTAGCGTTCGTTGCTCGAGCCCACTGTCTTTCGTCCACGTCTTAAATGTCTTTGATTGGTATTAGAAGTAACTACGAAGGCAACAGTCGAGTTGACAGTCTAGTTAGCTATGGTCGGGGGTTCCAGGCGTTTTCAAAATGGCGGAAAATTAGTTGAATGACGGAGGTGATTTATACGTGGAAATTTTTGGGGGGAATTTAATAGCAATTTGAAATATATATATTTAGCTTATTTTGGGAAGGTTCTATTTACACTAATATTTTATGGTTTGATATGGTATTTAATTATTTTTGAGAATTTTTTGGCTTACGAGGAAGAAGAATTTTATAGTGTAGATGGTTCGTTATTTATGATGGGATTTAAATTATTCTGGGCAATAGTTATTTTAGACATGGGAAATTTTGGCTGCTATAGATGTAAATAAATATCGTGAGGAGTTTCATCATTTCTGGGATTGGTTAGGGGATACTGTGGAAATTTTTTGGTATCAGAGTCCTTGGGATACTTTCTTCTGAAAAAATTGGGAAAAATGAATCCTGTGGCGCGGATGATTTATTATAGCAATCGAAGTTATTCTCGGGAAAAGTGGCTTTGGTATATTTAATATAGAGTTTGAAGATTTGCGGGTTGATGCAGATATTGTATCGATGTTGAATTGGAGGGTTTAACGAGGTAGAAGTTTGCATTGAAGTACTGATTTCGTATTGAAGCTATCGTGGGTTTTTAATACTGATTGAAGATGATCGATTGATATATTACATCGAAACAGTGGTTAAATCGCGTTTTCTTAACCATTTTGCGAATTAATAATTAAAATATATAAAAATAGCTGCAGAATTCTGAAGATATATATTTTCATCAGAAATTATTTTAGGGAGAATGAGAAGTAGAATAACGAAAATAAAAATATTTAAATTGAATTATAATATTTTAATAAAATTATATTCTACTATAATTATTCCACGACTTAATTAATTTATCTAAAGACACTTTCTTTTCCATCAAACGGTTCCTTCGATTAATCTAAGGTAATTAGAAGTTTCTAAATTACTCGCTTTCTAAGAACACCAGAGCGATCATTCGAAACGAAATTCGATGGGAAACCATTGAATTGTGAACTCTAACGAAACATCAGGAAATACATTGAGGTTAACAAGTGAGAAGCGAGTCTTCAACCTGTTAATTAGGTCAATTTTACTTCGAAACTCCGTCAGACACGAAATTAAAAATACGAGAAAGCAAATCCATTCTTCAATTAATAATATCCGCATTAAATCAATTTAATCGAGCAAAATTATTTATATTGACATACAGATATATAATAATTAAAGCAGTATAATAAATATAAATACTTTTAAAAATAAAAATTTCTATCTCAACGCAAATTCTTTTAGAAATTTAATTTTCCTCGAAATAATTGTATATTTGCAGCATATATAAACGCAGAAATTCCGAAAGCGGCCATTTTGATGTCCCCAATAGTCCTAGTACTAAACAATATTACTAGACCCTAGAAACAACTACAAGCCGAAAATCAATTATAATCATAACAATAATAATAAGTCTCGCAATATTCTCGTTCCAGATGGCGCTACTGTACGGAAC